CCCAGAACCGCATATTTGCCACGTTAGATGACTATTCAGCTTACAATACCCTGCTAGTAAACCCACGACAGCTTTGGCTGTCTTTCTGTCTTTGATTACCAGATCTCCCGTGAATTTTGGCAAATGTTCTATGAACTTTTTCGTCTGTCTCTGCCCTGGTGAGTTTCTCCACCTTTTTAGAGATTTGTCGGCCCCTCAGATTTGTTTGCAATGCCGCTGAAAGGTTCTAGGCCTATATGATTGATACTGATGAGCCTTGCTTAGCCATTTCATCTGTCCTTTGGTTGCCCAGGTACAGGGTGTCCCAGTAAGAATAGCTCTCGGCTGTATATCGGAAAGTATTAGCCGTAGGGCTTACGGAAAAAAATATTTGTAACTAAAGGGGCTATGAGAAATTGCTGGAAATTATTTTCAAGTTTATAAAACGGCCGCTAGAGGTGGAGAAACTGCTATGGAAAATAAGAAAATAGAATTTATACAGAATTTTGCCGAATTTTACAAACTTCATCAACATTTTGATAGTCTTTTATCTTTTGATTGCTTTTTCAAAATGTCAACAACTTCAACTACTTCAAATAATAAAGGCATTTTGAAAAAGCAATTAAAAGATAAAAAACGCTGCTAAGACCATCAAAATGTTGATTTAATAACAATTTGACGTTTATACTATTACGTCAAAAGCAACTTTTTTCCAAAGCCTACCATGACTTCACTAAATCATCGTTTCTTGTTCATTATTATTAGTATCTTAATTATTACATCTGGTATTATGGTATTCTGGTACTTCGTCGATTTTAAATAAACTAACTGTTTCCATCTTATTTTTTTGTTAGAATGGGCATAATCAAGAGGGCTACTGATACTGTGTGGTAAAAATAAGGTAATTAATGGCTTATTTTTTGGTATTTATTATAATTTTGCTAATATCTTCGGTTTGAAACAAGATATCAAGATGCGGTTTTCGCTGACTTTTTAAGCTTTTACTACTCTTTACTATCAGCTAAAATTACATATACTATCGTATTTAATTTTTTTGAAAAGACGCGCTGTTTGTTAAATTGTAAGATAGCGCCCCCTAGCGTCTACGTTCAAAACCTTATTATTATTATTTTTATGGTATAATATAGAGTAAGAAACGCTCTTTTAAACGAGCCCTCGTTTGTTGGATTCTGATCATCCATTCCGGAGTTATTAACATTTATATAAAGATAGATCTAACCTTCCCCCCACCATTTCACGTTTATTTTAGCAGATAGGGAAAAATGGTTCTCACAAAAAAAATCCAGAATTTACCAAAAATTAAACTATTATTTATAGTACCCATTATTTAGGTAAAATTCTGTAAAAATTCTATTTTCTTATTTTCCATAGCAGTTGCGCCCTTTAGCGGCCGTTTTACAAACTTGAAAATAATTTCCAGCAATTTATCATAGCCCCTTTAGTTATAAATATTTTTTTCCGTAAGCCCTACAGCTAATACTTTCCGAGATACAGCCGACAGCTATTCTTAGTGGGACACACTGTACACGGGCTAATGTAACATTGCCCCGTCCACCAAAAGTATTTAGTGTATCACTTTTTATGTATAATCTAGTATTTATAGCACCACAATCCCGCACTAGTCTAGAACTGACCTCCGTAGAACCGAGTGCCTTTTGCGTTATCTGGCTGTCTCTGAAGATGGCCACTGAACGATGTGTTCTTTGATGCCTTACTATTTCTTCAATTTTTGTTCGGTTATGTTAAATTTGCTGTTAAAGCTATACCTTGTAGCTGTTGCATCTAGCGGTAATCCAAATACTGCTTTTAGCTCGTCGCTTAGCTTCTGGTTTTCGGCACTATGCATCTGGCTTATGTGCTTCTGACCATGAATTAACCTGTGCGTGACAGATCTGGCTTCGCCTTGTATGAAAATATGTAGTGGTTCAACAAAATTTCCATAGCATTTGTGGGAGTTGTTTTTATAGTCCCCTTTACACACAGGCAAGGAAGCCTTTGTGTGAAACTTAACAGCCTTATCGCGCCCACTTGCAATGTTTTTGTTCACCACACCACCGACCTGTAGGTTATCATGGGTCCCTTGTGGACAACCATAATCATTTCAGGGTTAAGTATTCAGTTTTTTCCACACATTCTTCTGCACCTACCTAAAGAGATGGCAACCTTCTGTGCCGTCTTCGCTATGTAAGTATTCCATGTGAGCCTTTGATCAAAAATACCCCAATGTACTTCTTTCTTTATATACTTTCTCCTCAACAAGTATCTCTTGTTTATACACATATCTGTTTTGTTTAGGGCTGTCTGCTTTCTTCCTGATATCATCCCAGCGAACTTACCCCAGACCACAATTGCATATCCTAGACAATAAATAGACAATAAGAATACAATAAAGATGTGTATGTCTGTTTCATTGATTTTCAAAAGGCCTTTGATAAAGTCCAACACGACAAACTTATAGAGAACTTAAAGAGCATCAAATTGGACCCAAGTGATATACAATTAATAAAAAATATCTACTACAATCAAACGGCAGTGGTTCGAGTTGGGGACATCGAGACTGATGAAGTCGAGATTCAAAAAGAGTTCGCCAGGGCTGCGTTCTATCACCACAACTGTTCAATCTATACTCTCAGTTTGTATTTCAAAAAGCACTTTACGAGAGACCTGAGGGAGTAAACATTGGAGGGACATTGATTAACAACCTAAGATTCGCCGATGATACTGCCATAATGGCGGAGAGTGCAGAAGATCTTCAAACCCTGTTGGAAGGAGTCAGTCGAGAGTGTGAAGAAGTGGGACTTGCAATAAACACGCAGAAAACTAAAATGATGGTCATAAGCAAAAACCCAAATATTAACCCTATTCTGACAGTAAATGGGAACCGAATAGAGCAGGTCCAAAAATACAAATATCTCGGCTCTACCATAAATTCTGAAATGGACCCTGATCAGGAAATTAAGATCAGAATTGAAATGGCTCGAAATGCATTTATGAAATATTCCACATTGCTCACAAACAGAAATTTAAACCTTGTCATCAGGTTGAGATTCGTGGAGTGTTATGTGTGGTCGGTGTTAATGTACGGAGTAGAAACTTGGACGCTGAAGACTCAAATGATTAAAAAGCTCGAAGCATTTGAGATGTGGCTCTATAGGCGCATTCTGAAGATACCTTGGACTGATAGAATAAGCAACGACGAAGTGTTGAGACGCATAGGCCGAAAACGAAAACTTCTCACAATCATTAAGATAAGAAAAACATCTTACGTGGGACACATATTACGCAGTGACAAATATCTACTATTACAAAATATTATGCAGGGCAGAATTGAGGGGAGGAAGGGTATCGGCAGAAAGAAAAAATCCTGGCTCCGAAACATTAGAGAGTGGACAAATCTTGGCGTTGGAGAATTGTTCCATGTTGCAAAAGACAGAGAAGAATTTAGAAAAGTGGTCGCCAACCTTCTATGAGAAGACGGCATGGAAAGAAGAAGACAATAAAAGTGTTGTGTGGACAAATCGTTGAGGAGGTCAGGGTTGCCCAAATTAGAGGATCTCCTCCCTGTGGACAACTTCCAGTCGCAACTGCTTTGGTGGTAGCTTGCCCCAGCGTGGAAGTTTTGTGTTATCAGAAAAAAGTTGTTTTGGTAACTAATGTTACTTTTTTGTAACACAAAAGTTAAATAAAAACAATTTTATATATCGGTATACGTTGATTTATATTTAGTCTATTCTCATTTTTTAGTTAAGAGTATATTTATGGAATGAAATTATTAAGTTTATTTTTGTAAGCCAGTAATTCACATTAAGATTCAAGTAATGATTTAGCTTTGAGAAATGTAAAGGAATTTAATTTAAGAACTTTAACCGATTCTTATTGCATTTTAAGCGTTTTTTCTTTCAGTAAAGTTCAAGTGGTACATTAAACAGACTCGTGTTCCTATTTTTAATTTCATTTGTATTGCAACTGAGCCATTTCTTAACTTTCTAGATGTATGCTTATTTTTATATTCCGATCGTCTAAATATTTTCAAATCGTGCACTCGCTAAGTTTACTTTTTAGACAAAAATATTTTTTTATCGAATATCCTAAAATATATTAAATAAGTGATTGACACCACTGTGGTTGATCCAACTGACGGAAGAAAGATAAAACCTCTACACCCTAAAGTCAATGTGTTTTCCAAAAATCAGCTTTTTACGTCAACCGCTTTAAGCAGGATCGTGATTAATCAATGACCAGATTTTTCGAAACACCTTGTATACATTTTTAAAAAATCTTAAAAAATGTAAAAAAACAAAATAAAATATACGTGTTTAAGCGTTTTTCTGGAAACTTGACCGTTTTTTAAATAAAAAATGTTGTAATATTTGAGGGGTGGTTTCACCCTCTTGGAACTGGAATTTCGAAAAATCCCTTCTTATCGAACCTCTACACCCTAGAATCAACCTGTATGCCAAAATTGAGCTTCTTACCTTGAGTGGTTTGAGCAGGATTGTGATTAATCAGTATGTCAGTCACTTAAGGATTTTATATATTAGTATAAATTGTTTCATCAGCACGTAAATAGCCGTGTCTATGCAAAAAATATTAAATGATATTGATAAAGTTAGTTTCCCTCATTTTAAACATTTTTTATGACTATAGGGATACATTGTGCTTATTCTTGGTTAGGCAAATTTGTTGAACTATTAAGCAAACAATTATTAGGCAAATTTGTTGAACCAAAAACTGTTGAGTGTATGATATACGTTGAAATCAAATAACATTTTACAAAAATAAATATTTACAATTTTTAGTTTTCTCTTTAAGTGTCAAAATTCCCGACTGTCTAGTAAAACACTAAACAATTTCCTATATCACAAAAATAATTCGTTTAGAGAAAACAGTGTGAGAAAACAACAAAACAATAAAACGGTTAACAAGCAGCAGAAATAAAACAATGCATTAAGTGCCAATAAAACGTTCCAAAGTCCTCCAAACAAGCCAGATCTACTCACCCTCGACACTTTCAGCGGTGTTTTCGCGTCGACGCCGCCATGCATGCGAAATCCCCAGGGTAGTCCACCTTCCAAAACCACTTCGCGTTGTGTCATAGCCCACTTGGTGCCGGCGTTCGTCTATTTTCGCCCTCGGTCGTTAACGGGCGACTTTTGGAAATGCGCCAGCTGCAAAAACGAGGTTTAGTACGTTAGTAAATGTACTGATTTTTATAGCAATTCTGATAGGGAGCAATTCAGCCTGGACGCAAACAGAAAGAGCAAAGCAGTTTCAGTCAAAAACGTTGACTAGAACTGTTTGCATGTTATGCCTCAATGCAAATTAAATGGGCTAACGCACACTGCTCATTCGTGAGCGTTAAAACAGATTTAAGCTCGTTTAGGGCTCAAACACACTGACGACCAGGTCGCACTGGCCAGGCCGCACCTACCTCTAAAACCATTAAATCAAATGAAATAGGGCACACTAACGTCCTGGCCGTCCGTTGGTCGTTGCGACCAGAAGACTGCACGGTAATATTATTATTTTCTGCCGCTTGTTGCCGGTTTTCTTCCAAATTAATAATTTTTCAGATGAAATCCCTCAAATTCAAGGCACAATATTTTATTTTCTATAAGATATAGTGTTTTAGTGTAATTTTTGCACACGTGCAGAAAATCCAAAGAAATAGTATACAGACTGGATCAAAGGTAAACTTAAATCTAATCCCCTTTTTTTATCAAGGGTCGATTCTAGTAAGAACTCAAAACATTTTTATATGACATACCTACTCTATTTATGGTTGGTATGATACCTGTTATTATACCTTTGAGTTTCGATGTTTAAAAAATAAAAAAAAATAATATTTCACGTTTTTCTACAACCACTTGTTTTTTTTAATTACTTTTTTTAGTTGTATTGTAGTCATGTACAAGGAGAACAACTGTATTTTAAATATGATATTTAATTTAACGTTTTTCAAACAGGGTTCATTAGACTATATTTCTACTAGGTACATTATTTTGAAAAAAAAATTAAGAAAGTAACTTAAACATTCATAAAAATAGAAGTAGTTATACTGTTGTAGATTCTTCGTTATATTGTAAACATTGAAATAACTGGAAACTAAACTTTCTACCTGCTTATATTTAGAGCCAGTGTCTGACGATATTTTTTTACGATGGCCCTAATATCACAGCTAATATGTTTACTTCTTAAGTCGATAAGGGCAGTAGAACTTTTTAGTTAACTCGGATATTTTAACATTTCTGAAACAATACTTTCTAATTGGTAAAACGTAAAAAATCGTTAGATTTGACAACTCTGTTGAAACTGGTCGTTCATCTGGCCGCAGCTAAAAACGCAATACATCCGGCCAGCCGATGGCCAGGTCGTTGCGACCTGGTCGTCAGTGAGTTCGAGCCCTTAGTCAGGCATAAAACATTTTTGTCACGACGCAATCGCATTCGATGCCGGGCTACAGCGGCATCCCAAGCAACAACAAAGCCAATGAGGTATAGCTAGGCAAGGATCATCGGCATCCTATCTTGGTCTAGAGCCAGTACTGGTAATACCCAAATGTATGCCCGTAGTGCACTAAAACTCTGGATCAGAGAAAAGCAGAATGTTACTGCAGGAACAAACAGAGGGACATCAAGGCCTTTACCCAAGGCCCTAGCTCAAGAAACTGTAGAACTGCTAATGCTTAGTAGGAATAAAGTGCGGATTACAACAGGCCTCTTGACAGGACTGTCAAGTGTTACCTGAACAAGCTCAACCTGTATGAAGGAAGTCTTTGCTGCAGACTCTGCGATAAAGATCGTGAAACAGCAGAGCACATAATATGTCACTGCGAGGCTTTGGATCGCAAGCGACACTTTTTATTTAGGTAAGCTAGGCTAGAACCGGAGAAACTATGCTCCCATCCTATCAAGGACCTGCATAAGTTAGTGCAGGGCAGAGGGATAGGAGAATGGGTGCAGATATAGAAAGGGGACAAACAGAAAAGGCCTCTCATGTCGCAATGTTTCCGACAGAGGACGGCCCCTTGTTATTGGAAAAAAATTGCAAATAAAACATTTTGCTCCTCTTTGAAACATAATGTATTTATAAAAGACAAAAGAGTTTTGCTCTTTCTGTGTGCGTCCCGCCTTAAAAGGACATATTCTATTTGATATTCATTTTTAATTAATATCTAAGAATAAAATACCTTAATTTTATATGTTGATGGTTTAGGCCAATTATGAAACTTGCCAAGAAATATGAATAAATATGAAGGAAAAGAGAAAAAACTTGGCTTATTTATATTTAAATTGTAAAAGTCAAAAATAAAAACAAAATACCATCTAATTAAGCTGACTTCATAGTGATCATACTACATAAAACTCAAATAGAAAAAATAAAATAAAATAAACTATATTTTATATGGCTTTATTACATGTGTTTCCAATGTGGTGGCACTAGCCGTTTTTTAAAACGTTTCGATGCGGAATCAAAACTTTTAACGTTTCTTAATGTGAAGAAACAAAATACCACACTGAAATAGTCTATGTCTGTGTGTGGATTTCAAAATGAAAACAACCGTCAACAATGTCGACCTCCGCCATAATTTTTTTGGTTTAAGATCTTTGTTTTGATATGATTGACATGGAGTCGGACACAAATCATCTGCATTATATCATATTTGTGTCTAAAAAGCTTTATAAGAGAGAAACTCGTGTTTCCAACATGAGTCGACCATAAATGGAAACCTTGTTTCCAAAATGTTTCGATTTAGTGATATCTGTGTAGGAATTTTGAACTAGTCACCTGTCAATGAGGTCAATCAAAACTTCTGGTCAAAATAATTAATAATAATAATGCCTTTATTTCCAAAAAAAAAGTAAAATAAAATACAGTTAATTATTAATACATTAAAATAGTAAGAAATCATAGAAATTAAATAATTACACCATCAGAATATATATATATATATATATATATATATATATATATATATATATATATATATATATATATATATATATATATATATATATATATATATATATATATATATATATATATATATATATATATATATATATATATATATATATATATATATATATATATATATATATATAATGGAAAATAAATTTCTTGCAGTTTTTAGGTATATAATAAAATTATATAAGAGTTTCTTGCCTTGATCTGCTAATATAAGAAATTAATTCCACGCTGTGTTCGACATAATGTGGATCAACCTGCTCTCACTACCGGTTTCGGGGCCCTACCCCATCATCTGGTGAGCTTGGGTATTTCCACAATATGTCGAGCACAGCGCAGAGTATATAAACACGACTTGTCGTAAAGTAGCGGTAAGATATTAAGTCCCGCATCGCGAGATAGCGGCCTGCGTGCAATGGTAGTACTTTCGTACCACCGAGGCACAACTATCGATAGTAAATAAAGGCTTTTTTCGGCTAGCCCAAATTATATAATGGAAAATAAATTTCTTGCAGTTTTTAGGTATATAATAAAATTATATAAGAGTTTCTTGCCTTGAACTGCTAATATAAGAAATTAATTCCACGCTGTGTTCGACATAATGTGGATCAACCTGCTCTCACTACCGGTTTCGGGGCCCTACCCCATCATCAGGTGAGCTTGGGTATTTCCACAATAATTTCCACAATAATTTATTTTCCATTATATAATTTGGGCTAGCCGAAAAAAGCCTTTATTTACTATCGATAGTTGTGCCTCGGTGGTACGAAAGTACTACCATTGCACGCAGGCCGCTATCTCGCGATGCGGGACTTAATATCTTACCGCTACTTTACGACAAGTCGTGTTTATATACTCTGCGCTGTGCTCGACATATTGTGGAAATACCCAAGCTCACCTGATGATGGGATAGGGCCCCGAAACCGGTAGTGAGAGCAGGTTGATCCACATTATGTCGAACACAGCGTGGAATTAATTTCTTATATTAGCAGTTCAAGGCAAGAATTTATATATATATATATATATATATATATATATATATATATATATATATATATATATATATATATATATATATATATATATATACATATAAATAATCAAACCCAATTTTGGAGTGGAGTGAAATTCAGAAGCATAATGCTTCTGCTCTTCCATTAACTCCGAATGCATCCGAATGAAGTACAACAAAAAAAAAATAGTAAAAGGTGAAAAAGATTAAAATATGTCATATGAAAAAAGAACAATAAAAAAAATAATAATAAGCAAAACAAATCAATAAAAAAAACAGTGAAAAAAAAAACTCAATTTCAAAGAAGAAAAAAAGTTTCAGTTAGATAAAGAAAAAAAAAGACCTACTGATTTTCATAAAGCCATCGACGGGTATGCATCTTAAGGTGCGTATTCATTATCCGAACGAACGAACGAACGAATGAAAGTGCGGTATATGTAGACGGGGACCGAACGCATGCGGCCGTTCGTTCGTTCGTTCGCTCGACCATCCGTTTCGAGTCGGTACATCAAAGGCGTTCGCCAACAAATGCCTCCGGTCTTCTCGTGCGGTTCTATCGTACGGTCCCCGTCCATACCACTAGCGAACATTCGGTCGTTCGTTCGTTCGTTCGTGCGGATAATGAATACGCACCTTTAAATGTATGAATATTTAGAGTTTTTAGGTTTGAAGGTACCCAACTAGCATTTATAGTGGCAGATACGTAACTGCCACTATCAAAGCCACTACAAAGTGGGCGGTTACCATCGGCGGCTACGTCGTATATTCGTAGCGGCTAAGTAACTGCGACCAAAATGGGGAAAGATTTTGAGTAGCCGGGTAGTGTCTTGGGTAGTTTTTGCCACTAAAAGAGTTACTATGATGTGTTACTATAAAGTAGCCTACTGGTGAATGCGACTTATCCGTTACGAAACTGCCTAGTCGCGGGTTCGTGGCAGCCAAGTGTTAGCCACCGACATGTGGAACTTTCGTTAAACCGTTGAACTTTATTCGCAGCGACCTCTTCATGCAATTTCACATTTCATAAAAATAAATGTCATGATGGAAAATAATTATGGAAGCCATTATTATTTTTTCGTTATTTAATTTGTTATTTACCGTGCGATTTTAACGCCTTTTTTAGGTAAATTCTAGAACGCAATCAACTTTACTGAATAAAATAGTGGGTTTATATAACAAAATTTTCGA